TCATCCGGATATTCTCAAGACTGTTCTTACCGACAACTATCGACCAAGAATTTTGGAAAACTTTGTATATGACTTGTTCAGTGCTGGAATCAATGACAATGACTCGGCAACGGCACAACGCATACGACTGAAAAAACAGCATGCCTTTTCGAATATCAATGATATAGTAGAGGAATCTTACAATGCGGTAATTGGTCGATTCGCTCGTATGTCAATCGAACCTATTGCCAGGACCATCAGGGCTCATTCACACACAGATTATGTTAAAGCTTATTTTATCATCAATGATGACGACCAATCATGGACCAATATACTGCCAACTGGACAAGAATCAAGAATACTTTTTCATGAATACTGTTGGATCTATACATCTCATTCGTGAAACTGGCGGATACTTTTTGTCTGAAGGATATGTGATAGACTTGCTTCTCAATTTATTCCGAACAGAGTTTCAACAGTTCAATCTGTTGTCATCGTTGGATCTTTTGAGCAGCATTGCTGGCACAAAAGGTAAAAAAACTACAGCCAAAGGAACACCGTTCGAAGCCGTCATTTTGGCTGGTATGATCCAAAAAAATGGACCGCATCTTTCAAACGTCCTATCTAGTTTTGGTGTTTCGATTGCTGGTCTTGATGGTTTACAGTTGCCAACAATAGAGCGTAAGGCTGGAGATGGCACAATCATATCCGATAGACCAACAGGAGTCTTTTTTCGTCCTTCAAACCAGTTTCGACCAGACATCCTTGCGTTTTTATCCAAACAAGTCTGCGTGTCATTTGGAATCAAGCTATATACATCAAAAATTCCTTCAGCAGTGTCTGCCGATAATCTTGAATCTACAAATCCAGATTTTTCTTTATTAAAGCAGATCGGCCAACGAATAACGAAACGTATTTGAAATGGCAGCAGAGTATATCTGATACCCCGTTAAAGTTTTCAATAAGGTTCTTGATTGAGCTGCCTGAACCACTCAGTGCTGTTTCAACTGAAAATACTTATAACAGCGTCGAGGGAAACCAAAATGTCGTTGTTGTCGTTTCAAAGAGCAATATGCGCAATATTTTAAGCGAGCAGGTTGCGTCGTTTGTTGAATTCATTACCAGTTCCTGATAATAAATATTGAGCTAATTTGAATATTGGATTGTGTTTTGTTTGATTTATTGTATTCAACAAAAGATGCCACAAATCACTTGTCAACTTGATACTATGCAACAGTCGGTTGTTCTTGGTGTAGATACAGGTTGAACTACCAATAATGGTTACTGCACACAAAGTCACCCAATATCCTGCCAATTGTGATTTTGATTGTATTCCACATCCAATTCTAGATTGTAATCACAATCACAATTACCGTGTTTGATCAAATGGTGTTTTACATTGATCATGGTATCATACATTACGATACTGCCAGATCACTGCACACAAGTCATGACCAATACAAATGCATTACTGCTGACACTGATCGACACCATAAATACAGTCAGGCAGCACAACAAACCACCAGCATGCCATTGACCGTGTTGCAATACAATTGTCCAACATATCATGATGTATGTTGTATCAAGTCACAACTGCAAGTATTCATATGGTAATCGACTGACATTGGTGTTGATATCCAATTGATTGACTAATCGATCATCATCAATTGCATCAGTGACTGGTATATGCAACTGATATACACCATGTCCGAGTCTGATACATGTCGATATATGCGTGTCAATCAGCAATACAGATTTGTGGCCATTACAGTTGAATGTGAGTCGAGTCGATCATTAAACCAACGAATCAATGATTGCACTCTAAATATGGTGCGATTTGATGCGACATGACAATATATTGTCCGACAGGTTCAACACTGATATCCAGCACATCACACATGAATA